TTGAAGGCCCAGCACCCATAAAGAAGACAAACAACAAAAACAACCACAAACAGGTCCCCAGTGTGAGTGTTTTTGGCATCAGAACTCGGGAGTTGGAAGGCAACCTACCTCCCAGTCCTGGTCTGCAGCTTATAAACTATGGAGGGTGTTGTCCAAGGAAATCCTTCCTGATGGCCCCTGTCATTCAAGAATGCAGCCTTTGCTTTTGCACCTTGCTCAAGACAGTACTGGGACCACTACTGGCTGGTGCCATAACTGGTAATCGGGTCATGGATCTAATCTAGGAGTCCCCGAGGACCTAGAGGGTGACATGTGGCCTCGAGGTTGCAGGTTCCCCACCTCTGATGCATCCCCAGGAAAGCCTGTCAGCAGGGCTGGAAACCAATGGCTGTAGATGTTCCTGCCTGAAGAACTGACTTAGAAATCTAAGATGCCAATACTGACCACAAAAACACACAAAACAAGCACTTGCTGCTGAAGTCTTTCCAGTTCTCTAGGGTTGGTCTCAATTACAATCAAGGAAACCAGTTTCCGAAAGACTCCAAACAGACCTTAGGTTGATCAGACCAAGGTGACTGTTATTTGTTAAGTGAGGGTTACAAGGCCAATCCTAACCTGCTTGAGTAAAATTACTCACCTGATTCCGTCCCTGCAGGTGTGGGGAGATTCTGAGCCAGCGCAGTCTGGGTCCTGACTCCCAAAGTCAATGTGAGTCTCCGCTTGGCTAGAATCCCACCCGTTACCAAATTGTAGAGAGACTAGGACAATCAGACCAAAACTGTAAAGCAATGCAAGGTTTATTGAGTTTGCCAACAAGGGTGGGTCTCCTGCCTGGGTAGAGTCACACTTCTTAGGGAGGGAGCAGCATTTTTATAGGGTCTGGGGAGTTGGAGAGAAGTAGGGATAGGTGTTTAGTGCTGATTGGTTCCCGAGCTAAGACTCTGGGGTAGATCTTGTCATATTTGTTTGTCTACTGAATCCAGGATATTGCAGTTAAACTAATTCTAGGAATCAGGGTGCAAAACAGGATGTGATCGACACCTTGTTCCAAGCTGCTTGCTATTTCAAGTGGGGAGTGGTTTAGGGGGGGTCATGGGGTGTTAGGTGACAGGATGTTAGGTCAGGTGTTAGGTCAGGACCCTCAGTAGCTCAGGATCAGAGGCTGGACTTGAATCCACGTCTTTCAAATTCTGAGGCCACCTATGTCAAGCTGTCTTTAATTTTTCTAGGATAATAATATTAAGCATCTTTTACAGTATATAAACTCAATAGTTTATTAACTGTTTTCACATTCATTAGCTTGTTTGATTCTTACACTAATCCTTTAACGTAGATAGTAGTACAAGTATTATTATCCCTATTTTATAGATGAGGAAATTAAGTCTCAAAGAAGAGAATTAACTTGCCCAAGATCTTTATGAGGTGGTAAGTGGCAGAGTTGGGACTGGAACCAGGTTTCCAAATCTAACGCTTTTTACACCCAGGTAGGAGAGGTGGTGGGGGGGTGAGGGGGATGGTGAGGGCTGGGGGTCGGGGAGGGTCTCAAGAAATAGCCTGCCTCTTGACACATTGATGTACTTTTGGTGGGTCTCTGAAGCGGTGCAACTATTCTGGATTTCAATTTGGAATTATTCAAGAAAAATGACTACACTGCCCATACCCTTTGACCCAGCACTACTACCTGAAGGAGGTCAAAGACAGAAACAAAGGTTGAACCAAATATCCATAGCATTCTTTGTGGTAGTAAAGGATTGGAAACAAGCTGGTCATCCATCAATCAACAAGCACATATAAAGCATCTTTTATGTTCTAGGTACTGCCATTGATTAGAGAATGACTTTTTTAACAAGCTATGATCCACAGGTATAATAGAATTATCATTATGAGGTAAGAAATGACAACTCTTAGGAATTCAGAAAAATTTGAGCAGATTTGTATAAACTGATCCTGAGTGAAGTAAACAGAACTAAGAGCGTATATTGCGTGTGTGTGTGTGTGTGTGTGTGTGTGTGTGTGTGTGTGTGTGTGTGTGTAGTGTATATTGATACACAATGACTGCAACAAAGTAAACAAAAAGATCATTGAAAGGAAGTTTCATTCTGATTAATGGGGGAAAAAGTGAAGGACCCAGAGAAAAAATAATGAACATATCTCCCCTTTTATGGCAGAGGTGGGAGACTACTAGGACAGAATACTATAAATACTATCTGACATGATTCTGTATTATATCTTTTTGCTTAATTTTTTTGGGGGGTGGGTCATAAGGGAGGGCTCGATATGGGTCAGGGTGAGAAGGGGCTGATGTAAAAACAAAAAGCATCAATAAATTGCATTTTAAACAAGAGTAATAACCTGACAGGGGGAGTAGCTAGGTGGCATAGTAGATAGAGTGCTAGGCCTGGGGTTAAGAAGACTCAGCTTCTTGAGTTTGAATCCAGCCTCTGATACTTGCTAGCTGTGTGACCCTGGGCAAGTCGTTTCATTGTGTTTGCCTCAGTTTCCTCATTTGCAAAATGATCGGGAGAAAGAAATGGCAAACTACTCCAGTATCTTTGCCAAGAAAATCCTAAAAGGGATCCTGAAGAAGACATGACTGAAAAATAACCTAATCTCCCGCTCTTCCCTCCCTTCTGCCCTGTCTCCTCCTCTCTCCTCTCTCTCTTTTGTCTATACCTTCCTCCTCTTTCCCTACTAAAAATCACAGGTGCTCTGGATCCAGGGTTAGGGAACAGATCTGAGCCTCCAAGCTGATCAAACAAACCCGGCTGTGTGTCCAATCTGATAGAAGTGAGAAGGCCAAATGATTTTCCTCCCACACTAGGATTTCATCACTATCTCTGTGTTTTGTTCTTGTTTTCCTCTCCACCTGTTTTATCAAGGACCCCTCTTCTCCATAGGCTGAGAGAGCGTGCCTCCCCATAATGTCATTTAATCAATGCCCCTCCAATAGTCCCCTCCTATCTGAGATTACACGATTAATGCTCCATAACTTTAGGATAAACACTGCCCTCTACAAAATATCCTCTTAAAACCCAAATAACCCTTGGTTCTTTTATTTTTTTTATTTAATATTTCCCCAGTTGTGTGTAAAAATAATTTTTAATATTCATTTTTAAAACTTTGAGTTCCAAATTCTCTCCCTTCCTCCCTCCCCCCCCATTGAGAAGGCAAGCAATTTGATATAGGTTATACATGTGTAGTCGTGCAAAACATATTCATAATAGTCATGTCGTGAGAGAAAACATAGACAAAAAAAAACTCAAGAAAAATAAAGAAAGTAAAAAGTATGCTTCAATCTGCATTCAGACACCATCAATTCTTTCTCTGAGGATGGATAGTATTTTTCATCATAAGTCCTTCAGGGTTGTCTTGGATCATTGTATTGCTGAGAATAGCTAAGTCATTCACAGCTGGTCATCTTACAATATTGCCATTACTTTGTACATAGTTCATTTCACCTTGCATCAGCCTATGCAAGTCCTTCTAGGTTTTTCTGAGAGCATGCTGCTCATCATTTCTTATAGTACAATAGTATTCCATCATAATCACATACCACAACTTGTTCAGCCATTCCCCAGTTGATGGGTATCCCCTCAATTTCTAATTCTTTGCCCCCAGAAGAGAGATGCTATAAATATTTTTATACATGTAGGTCCTTTTCCTTTTTGTTTTTATCTCTTTTGGGATACAGAACTACTAGTGGTAGTGTTAGGTCAAAGAGTATGCATGGGGCAGCTAGGTAACTGGAGTCAGGAGGATCTGAGTTCAAATCCGGTCTCAGCCCAGACACCACTTGACACTTATTAGCTGTGTGACCCTGGGCAAGTCACTTAACCCCAATTACCTCACACACACACACAAAAAGGTATACATGGTTTTATAGTCCTTTGGGCATAGTTCCAAATTGTTCTATAGAAAGGTTGATCAGTTCACAACTCTACCAACAATGCATTAATGTCTCATTTTTCCCACATCCCCTCCACCATTTGTCATTTATCTTTTCTATTCTATTAGCCAATCTAATAGGTATGAGGTAGTACCTCAGAATTGTTTTAATTTGCATTTCTCCAATCAATAGTGAGGTATAGCTAGCTTTGATTACTTCATCTGAAAACTGATCTTTTGATCATTTATCATTTGGAGAATTAGCCCTTGGTACTGTAGATAAGTCCCTAGCACCCTAAAGAATTCAGGAACCATGGAATGCTAGAGTTGGAAGAGATCTCAGAGAGGACCTAATCCAATGGGATAACAGGATCATGGCCAGTAGCAAGATTAGCATCCCTATTTGATGAGAAAACTGAAAGGGGGACAGAGGGTGGCTACTTGAGTAGCTTGAAATCCCTGGAAGACATTGAAAGGGTCCATGGAATTTGACTCCCAATTCCCTATTACCAGCTGAGTATCATTTTTTTTATTGTTAATTTTAACGAATATTTTTGAGTTCCAAATTTTCTCCCTTCCTCTAGCCCTTCCCCACCCATTGAGAAGGCAAGAAATACAATATCCATTATGCATGTGAAGTCTTCTGAAAACATATTTCCACATTAGCCATGTTGTGGGGGGAAAAATAAGAAAAATAAAGGTAAAAACAATATGCTTTGGTCTATAGTCAGAGTTTATCAGTTCTCTGTCTGGAGGTGGAGAGCATTTCTCATCATGAGTCCTTTGGAATTGTTGGATGGGTTGTTGTATTGATCAGAGCTCAGCTCAGGGTATCATGGGTCTCAAAGCCAAAGTCCCCTGGCCTCTGGATGCCTGGGCCTTTTCTTTTGGGTATTCCTGGGTATTCCCCCACCTGTTGCACCAACACTGGTCTCAGCTTCTATGGCCTTGGTCAGCAGGTGACATTTTGGGAACATGCCCTCATCCCCACCTTGATCTCCATTAGGCAATCCAGCAAGATACCTTTCTTTCCTGTTTCAGCTGATATGGGGAATTCTATTTAAAGTAACTGTTTTACAGCCTCTTTCTCATTCCTATTGAAACAGCCAGACAGAATGCTCAAGCTGCTGGTTACCCTTCTGCTTGTGGCCCTTGGTGAGACCCCTGACCCTGACTCCTGACTCCTTCTGTGTTTCTGCTCTAGAAGATTCCCAGTTGGGACCTTGGAAAGTGCCTTCCTCTCTTGGGTCTAAAAAGCATCCAATTTCTTTGGTCATCAAGAGTGACTGTGAGGATGAGAGTAGCTGAAGGGTGGGTCGTCAAGAGGTAATGGGTTCGCCTATCCTGTTTGAGCCAGCAGAGAGGATGATGGAAGAGTAGGCTATCAGTGCATGGTAGGCATGCTTAATCTAAGGTTGAGCCAGCAGAGGGTGGTGGGTATGATCAGCCTAAGGTTGAGCCAACATTGGGTCCAATGAGTACGCTAGCCTAAGGTTAGACCAGCAGAGGGGGGAGAAGGGGCCAAGGTGTAGATAATGGAAGTCAGGAAAGTGAGAAGCACATAGGTGCTGCCATTTCCATGGAAAAATTCAAGGCCAACTGGAGAACCAGGAAGGGAGAATTCTGCAGAATTCTTTAGGGGTGGCAAGAAATAGGGAGCAAGCATATGGCAGAAGTCCAGGATGTGAGACCAGCCTTGTTTTGCAGAGTAATAAAGAGTGGAGGAGGCTCAGTGGCTGGAGTGAGCCAGGTATCAATTGCCATGAGATCAGGGTGTATGGGAAGGATCAGCAGAGGGGGAAATGCCTAGGAGCTGGGCACTGGCTTCCCATTGCCTTCCCCAGTATAGTCCTGTCAGCAAGTTTGCTGGAGTTTGTCCTGGTCAAGGAATGTGCCATGGTTGTTGGCACCCTCACACAGCCAATACCACTGAACTGTCAGGTCAGATTTGGTCTTGACGTAGGGCCAGGAAGGTGGTGAGATGGTCATAGTAATGATGATGAGGGCAGGGAGGATTCAGTGATGATAAAGGCATATTAATAATCGTAGCTAACACTTATATAGCACCTATGACATGCCAGGCACTGTGCTAAGCACTTTTCAAGTATTATCTCATTTGAGCCTTACAGCAACCCTGGGAGGAAAGTGCTCCTATTATCCCTATCTTATAAATGAGGAAACTGAGGCTGGAAGAGGTTAAGTGACTTGCTCAGGTAATATTAGTAATATTATCAATGCTTCTTTTGGTATGTATCCCATCTCCTCCCTGAGACTGGGAGAACCCTGAGAGCAAAGAGTCACCTTTCCTCAGTTTCCCCATCTCACAGCCCCAGTGCCCAAACTCAAGTGCACATTTCTGCCTGGCTCCCATGCTGATACTCTGTTTGTTTGCTATTCTCTCCAGCCTCAGGCTGCGGCAAGCCTGCTTACTTACATGTTTCCCGTGTGGTGAATGGAGAGGATGCTGTGCCCTACAGCTGGCCCTGGCAGGTAAGGACAAATCACCCTGAGTCTGGCTATGACTCTGTGCAGAGGTGACTTGAGTCAATGAAATGAAATGTTACAAAAAAATTTGTGAAGCACCTATTGGCTCAAGGCACTGTGTGAGGTGGAGTGGTGGGAATATAAAGACAAAACACAAAAACAACCCCTGCCTTCAGGGAGCTTACATTCTGCTGGGTCAGACAATGTAGACACAGATAAGTGAATCCAAGGTAATTTGAGGAGACAAACTCCCAGCTACTAGGGAGATCAGAGAAGGCTTTGGAAGGAAGAGGCCTCTGAACATGTATGTCGAGGGGAGACAAGGATTTTGAGGGTTGGAGATGAGCTCTGCCCATGGCTGGTATGGGGATGAACAATCATTCATAGGCACCGAACACACCAATGGTATATCCTCCCAATTAGTGGAGGAGATATTGGTGTTTGAAAGTTCCTTTGCTATAGGGATGGACACAATGGGTTACTTGGGCCTGGTTGCTCTGGACAATGTTATCACTTAGTGTTTATTGAGATCAGGGATATGAAGACACACACAGTGTAATAGACACACACACACAGTGTGATATTGACACCTAAACTGTAACATCATTGCACACAAACATCTTCTAGATCACTGACTCTGACACCCACACAGAGGAACACTGACCAGTGCCCAGGTGGGAGGGGGATGGAAGGGCCTTCCTGGACTAACCCAAAGCATCCCATTCAGTTATGAGACTTGGGGGACCCTGGTGGGGTCAGACTAAGTTCAGGCCTCTTCTTGTCTATGTCCCACAGATCTCCCTTCAGTATGAGAAGGATGGTGCCTATTACCACACCTGTGGGGGCAGCCTCATTGCACCTGACTGGGTCCTGACTGCTGCCCACTGCATTAAGTAAGACTCCTTTGGCCTCCTACCTCCCCTGGCTCTGACCCCACCTCATTCCCTTAAGGCTCACAAGGAAGTCTAGGAAAGTAGAAAGTGGATTCAAATCCTGGCTCTGGCTCTTATTAGCTAGGTGACTCACTTACTTCCCCTCTGGGGCCTCAGTTTCTTTATTTGTGAAATGAGGAAGTTGAACTTGATGATCCCAAAGGTAAGAGATCTAGAACAGGGGTGGGGAACCTGTGAGGTCACATGTGTCCTTCTAGGTCTTCAAGTGTGGCCCTTTCACTGAATCCAAACTTCACAGAACAAATCCCCTTAATGAAAGGATTTGTTCTATAAAACTGGGACTCAGTCAAGAGACCACACCCAAGGACCTAGACAGCCACATGTGGCCTCGAGGTCACAAGTTCCCCACCCCTGATCTAGAAGATCATATAACCTGAAGTTTATCTTAGTCTCTATCTGGGGTGGCACCTCGGGATGGAGGGCAGGGAGGGGTCCCTGCTAACTGAATGGTACCTGTGATAATCTGGGGCTTTGAGACTTCTTGATCCTTAACTTTGTCTTCTGGCTTCCCAGCAAACTTCGCACATACCAGGTGGTTCTGGCAGAGTATGACCGGTCTGTGCAGGAAGGGGAAGAGCAAGTGATTCCTATCAACTCTGGTGACCTCTTTGTTCATGAGAAATGGAACTCCAACTGTGTGGCCTGTGGGTAAGTGGAATAGCCCCACAGAGTGTAGAAAGACCTAAATTGAATCCTGGCTCAGATGCCCATTAGGAAGTCACTTTTATCTTCTCTCTGCCTTGGTTTCCTTATCTTTAAAAATGATAATAACAGTGGCATCTACCTCACAGGGTGGATCATAAGTAAAGTGACTTTCAGACATGCAGATGCTATCCATACACTACTTATAATGATGAAGTAATTCGCAAGGCCCCTCCCACCCCCAATTCATGCTTGGAGAGCTCAGTGCCCACGGGAGGTACATACCTGGCAAGCCCTCTGGGGCAGAGAGTAGATAAGATACAGGCAGACCTCAGGGCAGGTGCAGCCTTGGTCAATTAGGTCTGCACCTATGCCTCTGTCCTTGGAAGGAAGGTGTTTTCCTTCCTTGGACTCAGTTTCCAGAATGCTAACATTCTTCCTGGTTGTTACTCAAGAGCTGCCCTGTCTAAAGAGTAGTCTGCTTAGGGATGGGGTCCTGAGCCAGAGGACTCATAAGATCATGCTGTTTTGAACTGGATAGCACTTTATAACCTAGGAGGCAAATGTGGTGTGGTAGAAAGAACACTGAATTTGGAGTCAAAGGTCCTGGGTTCAAATCCCTCCTTTGCTGCTTATTACCTGTGTGACTTTGAGCAAATCATAGCATTTCTCTCAGCTTCAGTAAAATGTAGATGGTTTTTGAGGTCCCTTCCCCTCTAGGTCTATGACCCTATTTCAACCCCAGCACTGCTGCTCACAGCCTATATGACCCCGGGAAAACCACTTTACTTCCTGAACCTCATTGTCTTCATCTGTAAAATGAGGGGGATGGACTAGAGCAGAGCTTCTTTACCTTTCTTGTGTCCTGGACCCCTTGGATGGTCTGGGGAAGCTCACAGACCCCTTCTCAGAATCATTTTAAATGCATAAAATAAAATGCATAGGATTACAAAAGAAATCAATGACGCTGAAATGCAGTTATCAAAATATCTTTTTAAAAGTTCACAGACTGGGGCAGCAAGGTGGCTCAGTGGATAGGGCACTGGCCCTGGAGTCAGGGGGACCCGAGCTCAAATCCAGCCTCAGACACATGATACTCACTAGCTGTGTGACCCTGCGCAACTCACTTAAACCCAGTTGCCTGCCCCCCCCAATGAATAAATAAATAAATAAAAACAAAAAAAAATTTACAGACCTGTAGGTTAAGAACCCCCAGACTAGATGACCTCAACATTCCTTCCACCTCCACATTTATTAATCACCAAGCATTTATGAAGCACTGAGTATGAGCCAGGCACCATGTTAGACTCTGGGGATGCAGAGACAAGAAGGAGACAATCCTGCCCTCAGGGAGCTTACCTATTGTGGGGAAAGACAAGACGTACATAAATAAGCCTAGATAAATTACCTGTAAGAGAAATGCAAGGCAGACTTTTGGAGCAGAAGGCTCAAGCACCCAGTGAGGGCCATAAAGGCTTCAGGTAGAAGGTACCACCTGAGGAGGAGCTGGCAGGAAGGCCCAGAGGTACAGGTGAGGGGGGAGGGCATTACAGGTGTGGGCAGAGGCACAAAGAACCCAAGATTCTAAACAATTTCACTGATTTCAGCCTCAGTCTGCTTCTCTCTAAAATGGGAGTGATAATGGCACTACCTACATCATAGGGTTGTGAAGGAAGTGCTTTATAAACCTCAAAGGGCCATGGAAAAGTGAGTTGTTTTTTGGGGGGGGGGGGTGGGAAGAAGCCAGGAAGGAAGGTGATAAATGAGCTGCGATATCAGGGCAGGCTTCAGGGAGGAAGCCTGAGCTGATCCTTGAAAGAGAGGCAGAATTGGGAAAAGGGGGAAGGGGCTGGAAGGACAAAGGCTGGGAGGTAGGAATAAGCTCTGGATGCTGGGGAATCCAAAAGCGGATCTGCGCAGACTGGCTTCCCCCGTGGCAGTGCCTATTGGGCAGAAATCCCCCTCTCTGGTCTTCTCTCAGCTTGTCCCCTCATCTGTTCCAGGAATGACATTGCTCTCGTCAAGCTCTCTCAAAGTGCCCAGCTTAATGACAAAGTCCAAGTGGCCTGCCTCCCCCCAGCTGGTACCCTCCTGCTCAATGAAGCACCCTGCTACATCAGCGGCTGGGGCCGTCTCTACAGTATGGCTGGGCTCTGGGGGAAGGGGAAAAAGGGAAGGGGGAGGGCTGGCAGGGGGCCTGAGTGGGAGGAGGGTTCAGCAAGGCTATCAGGAGGCAGGGGAGAGCTGCCCTGGGGGAGACAGAGGGCATAATAATAATAATAATAATAATAATGATATCTAGCATTTATCGAGGCTTTAAGGTTTGCAAAGCACTTTACTTGTATGAGGAGCCCTGGGGAGAGCTACATTTGGGGAAAGAGGAGGGATGTAGTTATTGTTAGTTGTATAGTCATATCCAACTCTTCTGACCACATGGACCATCCTGTCCATAGGATTTTCTTTGAAAAGATACTGGAGTGGTTTGCCATTTCCTCTGACATAAAGAGGAAGAAGGTAGAATAATAATAAAAATAATACTTAACATTGATATAGCACTCTAAGATTTGCAAAACTTTTTATGTATCATATGATCTTGACAACCACCCTGGGAAGTAGGTAGTATTATTATCCTCATTTTCAGATGAGGAAACTGAGGTAGAGTATCTGAAGGGCTATCACAGGGTAAAGGAATTTGATTTATATGATTATATCTTTAGAGCTGGAAGGTATCTTAGAGGCTAATCCACCTCATTTTACCAGTGAAGAAATTGAGGCATACAGAGAGATTAAGTGATTTGCCCAGAATCATAGAGCTAGTAAGTTTCCCAGGCAAGATCTGAACCCTGGTGTCTCTGCTCTATTTTCTCAAGACATTCACTATTAGACTTGAGGGCAGAGGCTCCTGAATTTTCTCCCCCAGGTCTTGACTTTTGAGCTCTCAAACTTTCAGTTATGGTGGTTGGTCTGGGTTGGGATCTAGGACTTTCCTGGTTCTCTGTCTCTCTCTGTCTCTTTGATTCTGCAAACAGACCTAATTACCTTTCTCCCCCCCCCAATCCCACCGCCCCTACAGCTGGTGGACCCCTCCCTGACAAACTGCAGCAGGCCCTGCTCCCTGTGGTAGATTATCAACACTGCAGTAAATGGGACTGGTGGGGCTTCTCCGTGAAAACCACCATGGTGTGCGCCGGAGGGGACATACGCTCTGGCTGCAATGTGAGTGCTGGGCCTCTGGAGGAGGGGCCCTCTTCCTGCTGGCTCTGTGCAGCACCCAAGCCCCCTGGAGAGGGTGGAGAGTGGGAAGCTTTGAATAAGAGGGTAGCTCTGCTTGGGGATCCCCTCTCCTGAGTCCACCGAACCAGTCTTCCTCGGAATCTACCCAACTCATAGCTCCTGACTTAGGGTAGCCTAGGTCACCAGTGCTGGAGCTCTGATCTGATCCAGCAACAGGCCAGCCCCAAATCTCTGCCATGTTCCCTTGACATATCAAGAGAAGGATTCACCCCAGCTAGGATGAGGGAGATACCAGTCCCAGATGCCTTCTGTCTTTCCTTATAGGACAGATAGCCTGGTACCCTGGTGTCCTAGAAAGAACATTGGGGTTGGAGTCCAACCGCCTGGGTTTGCTTCCCAGAGCTGCCATTTACTCCCTGTCATGCCTGGTGCAAACTATCTGAGGCCTCTGGGCCACAGTTTCTTCATCCATAAAATGAGGGTCCTGTGCTCTCTCTACATACAGTCCCCTAATCAGACCCCATCTGGGGTACTGTTGTCAGCTCTAAGAATCGCACGTTCACAGGGACATTGACAAGCTAGAATCCATAGAGAAGAGAGGAACAGTGAAAGAAAGAGAGGCCATGCCATAGGGATGTCAGTTAAGGAAACTGGGGCCATTGACCAGAAGAGAAAAGGAGGGGACATGCCAGCTGTCTTCCAGGACGTAAGAGTCAACATGGAGGAGAGGGACTAGATTTATTCTACTTGTCCCCAGAGGGGGACAAGTTTATTTAATATTTAATTATAATAATTTTATAATTAATTTATATTAATTATAATAATTAATAATATTTAATTAATACTAAATTTAGAATTTAATTTATTAATTTATTAATAATAAACTTAGAATTTAATTTATTAATAATAAATTTAGAATTTAATTTATTGATTTATTAATAATAGGTTTAGAATTTAATTTATTAATTTATTAATAATAAATTTAGAATTTAATTTATTTAAATGAAGTCATCTAATTATTTATTTTAATAATAAAATTGGAGGTAGAACTAGGGACCTCAAAGGCCATCTAGTCTGGCCCCTTCATTTTACAGATGAAGAGCCTGAGGGCTCTAGAGGTTAAGTGACTTGCCCAAGGTCATATAAGCAGTAAATATGAGTCAACCAGCAATTAGGAAGTGTCTACTCTGTGCTAGGCAGTGTGCCAAGTTCTGGGGATACAAAGCAGGCAAAAAATAAAAACCAAAATCCAAAAAAAAATGCTAACAGAATATCAGAGGTCAGGTTTGAACCCTGGTCCTCTGACTCTGAATCCAGGCTCTTTCCATTCACTTAACCATGATGAGCAATGGTTGGAAGTCACTGAGGGGGATATTGAGAGAAGGGCAAACTTTGTCTCAGATTGAGCTGTCCCCAAACAGAATGGCCTAAAGGCCTTAGAAAGGGGAGAGTTCTCCATCACTGAGAGTTTTCAAATGGAGACCAGACAGCACCTCGAATTGGTGAATTCTGAATTGGATTCTCATTCTGAGAACACTTCCAACTTTGAGATTCTGTGAAAAAGTCACTGATCCCAGACTTAGGACTGTGATGCAGAGACCCCCAGCCATCCTGCTCCTCCCTCTAGTCTCTTTGCCTCCTGTCACTTACACAGCTGAGTTTGGAGAATATTCACTCACTCCTTGCAATCCAAAGGCAGCAGGGTTTGGGGCTGGGATATTTCTAGGTACTCAGAGGTTATACCCCCAATAGGACAAAAATTGAATTATCCTGCCATCAGAAACTGTCTGTGCCTAATCACCCCCTCCTCTTCACTGTGCCTGTTTCAGGGTGACTCTGGAGGACCCCTTAGCTGCCAGGCTGATGATGGCACCTGGCAGGTCCATGGTGTTACTAGTTTTGTTTCTTCTCTTGGCTGCAACACCCTAAAGAAGCCCACGGTATTCACCAGAATCTCAGCCTTCATTGACTGGATTGAAAAGGTAAGAATTAAGCAGAGGGGGCAATGAGCCAAGGCCTGGGTGCCCTGCAGAGGCTGGAATGGGAGGGGAGGGGTGAGAGAATACACTTTCCCAGGATCACAGAACCTCAGAGTTAGATAGCAGTTTTATGTTATCGAAAAAGTCCTCCTAATAGAAAGTCTTCCACTTTAGGCCAGGTGATTGTAAGTTAATTCAGAGAGGTTCACCTGTCAGTTAGTCAATAAGCACCTTTAAAGCTCCTACTATGTGCTAAGCACTGTGCTAAGCACCAGAAATACAAAGAAAAGGCTAAAAACAGCCCCTGATTTCAGGAGCTCACATTCTAATGAGGGAGACAACCTAGAACCCACTATGTACAAACAAGATGTAGACAGGATAAACTGGAAAGAATCAATGGAGGGAAGGCACTCGTCTTAAGGAGGATCAGGAAAGGCTTCCTGTAGAAGGTGAGATTTTAGCTGGCACTTGAGGAAAGGCAGGGAAGTGGAGATGAGGAGGGAGAGCATTCCAGGCATGGGGTACAGCCAGTGCAAATACCTGGAGTCGGGAGATGGAGGGTTTTGTATGAGGAATAGCAGGAGGACCAGTGTCACTGGATGGAAGAGGATATAGTGGGAGCTGGGGTGGGGTGTAAGGGGTTAGAAAGGTATGAAGAGCTAGATCCCCTAATTAGCTGCAGGACAATGAATTTTTTGTCCATAACAACCCTTAAAGTTATAGAGGGGCTGTGATCTGAGAATACTTACATAAATGAAATTACTTATTCAAAATTGAAGTGGTAATAGCCAGCATTTATATAGTACTCCACACAGGTTAACTTGTTTGATCCTCACAACAACCTATGGGAGGGGGGAAAGGTGAGGGGAGGTACTCTTATCATGCCCATTTTGTAGATAAAGAAACTGAGGATGAGGAAGATCGAGTGACTTGCCCAGGGTCACTCAGCTTAGCAAGTGTCTAAGGCAGGATGGGAATAGAGGTCTTTCTGACTCCAGGTCCAACACTGTATCCACTGGGCCCCCTAAGCCTTGACAAAGACTGTCTCATTGTATCCTCACAACAACCCTATGAGGAAGATACAGTAGCGATTCTCAAACTCATTGTGTGGGTGAGAAAACTGGGGCTCAGAGAGGTGAAGCCATTTGCCTCTGGTCACTCAGCTGGTTAGAGTCTGATGGAGAAAGTAGCCTTGCTCTCTCCTGACTCCATATTCTAGGCTCTAACCAATGTACTGCCTTGCTACCTTACCCCAAGGAATGACACACATTGAAGTTGGTTCAAAAAGGGCTTTATGTAAATTCCTGGATGCTAGATGATACATAATGATGATACATCATTATGGGGCTATTTGGGGGACAATTTATATTGGGATGGATTTTAGCTGGCAATCTGATGCATTTGTGTTTTATTTAGTCAAACTTTTTGGTCTCGGGACCCCTTTAACACACTTAACAATTCCTGGGGACCACAATGAGCTTGGATTTATGTGGGTTATACCTATCAATATTTACCATATTAGGAATGAAAATCTCAATATTATTATGCAAATAGTTTTGATCTTGTGGACCCTCTAGAAGGGTTTTTTGGGGTCCCCAAATCTCACTTGTTAGAGGCAGTAGAGAGCCCTTGAAGACTCTAGAGCAGAATAAGGAGAAGGCATACTACTCCTCAGAGCTTTGGCGGCATGGGGGGATGTGATTCTGGCTGGCTGGAGCCCTGGGCTGACCCAGAAGATGACAACAGCTCAGCATTGTCAAAAGAGGCCTGGATTTAGTTGACTTGGGTTACTTAGTACCTATATGGGTCTGTCACTTCTCTGGCCTCATTTCCTTCACCTGTAAAATGGGGGGAAGGGTTGGAAGAGATGGTTTCTGAGGTACTTTCCCTCTCTAAATCCTATGTTCTCTTTACAGACCATAGCAGAACATTAGAGAGGAGCCCGAGCTGGCTGGAGGAGCCCTTTCAACAGCAGAAATAAAAACACCTTGCAAAGCTGACTTTCTATTTCTCTTTTTTGTTTGCCCCTGGCTCCCTATATTCCTCCCTGCCTTACTCCTTCCAACTGTAACAACTCCAGGTCACTAGATGGAGCGGCGGATAGGACACTGGGCTTGGAGTCAGGAAGACCTGAGTTCAAATCCAGCCTTAGATGCTGACTAGCTGTGTGACTCTGGGCAAGTCACTTAAACTCATCTTCCTGTTTCCTCATCTGTAAAATGAAAATCATAATAGCCCCTACCTCCCAGGGTTGTTGTGAGGATCAAATGAGATAGTATTTGTAAAGTGCTTAGCACAGTGCCTGGCACACAGTAGGTGCTTAATAAATCTTCATTCCCTTTTCCCCTTCCCTGCTTCAGCCTTCAATCTCCCTGAAGACTTGAGCCTTCCCCCGGTGACCCGGTTCCTTGGGAATGTGTTTCTTTTATATCACAAGGCCCTGCCTCCCCCAAAAGCTCCCAACAATATTGTATCCCTAATTCTCCTGGAGGAATTTGGGCTGCTCATTGGGACCAGAAACCAGCCCAACTTTATAGCTATCATTCAGGACAAGTGAAATGTCTATTGAAGAGGAGGAGAAGTACTTCCTATATACCTGATGCCATGCCTGGTGCTAGGGGGGGAACAGTAATCATCATAATAATAATAGTTAACATTTACATAGCACTTACTATGTGCCAAGCACTTTACAATTATTATCTCACTTGATCCTCAAAACAACCCTGGGAGGTAGATACTATTATTATCTCCATTTTACAGATAAGGAAACTGAGGAAAAGAGGTTCAGCAACTGTCCTGGGGTCAAATAGCTAGTACATTTCTGAGGCTACATTTTAACTCAGGTCTTCCTGATTTCAGGTTTGGCATTCTATCCAATATTAACAAGTGTAAGATATTCATTCATTTATTTATTCAGTCAACAAATATTTATTGAACAGCATATTATATATAATATATTGTATATGTTGGGCATATGCATATGTATATATGTATGTATTTATGTATACACATATATGTATGTGTATGTATACACACACACATACACATGTCCTTCAGTGCTTAGGACAGCTCCTTTTATGTACATATATATTGTTCAGTTGTTTTTCTGTCTTCTTTAACTCTTTGTGACCCCTGCCCTATGCACTGAAGGGCCAGAGGGATGACCACGACAAAGTGTCTGCCCTCAGGAACACAACTCACAGAATCTCAGAAATGGAAAAGACCTCAGAAGCCATCTAGACCAGCCAATACCTGGATGAGGATCTCCCCTACAATGCACCCAGTAAATTCTCATGTAGCCTTTGCTTTATGATTATTACTGAAGGGAAACCTATTACCTCCCAAGGGCATCCCCTTCCACTTTGAGACAGCTCTAATTGTTAGTGATGCATACCTTCTGGGCTCCCACCTCCAGCTTATATGCACAGGCTGGGTCCCCAGATGAATGACTGCTACTACTCTCAAGATTCTAGGGGTAACCTTGTGGGGAGCTTTTCTCCTAGTGTTGTAACTCACAAGCTCCTACCAGTGCCCTTCCCCTTAATAATCAGCCAGTATACTTATGTCCCAGTAAAGGCATTTTTACTCAAATGGCATAGCAGAAACAATACTCAAAAAGAATTTACCCAAAACATCCTCTCCTGCAACTACACATAGAGTCTGTGGGGTGGGGGAAATAGGTACAAACTTACATTACATTGATAGGAAACACACATAGCCAAGACAACTCACAACTTTGCCACTATAAGCACTCGGTATCTTTCCTTTTGCTAGAGCAGAGATTCTAAACCTGGTGTCTGCAATTTTTTTTAGTGGGTGGGGAGCTAGGCAATGGGGCTAGCTAGGCAATGGGGCTAAGTGACCTGTTCAGGATCACACAGCTAGTAAATGTCAAGTGTCTGAGGCTGGATTTGAACTGAGGTCCTCCTGACTCCAGGGCTGGTGTTCTATCTACTGTGCCACCTAGCTGCCCTATGCCTGCAATTAAAATTTTTTTTATAACATTTCAATTTAATTGATATCCCTTGTGATATTATGTATTTTATTTTATTCATTTAAAAAGATTATGCAGAGGAGGCTTCACCAAACTGCCAAAGGGGTTCATCACACAGAAAAAGGTTGAGAACCCCTGGTCTAGAGGGTGCACATGAAGTTTGCTCTAGGGCATGACATGGGTAATGGATGAGTTGCTCAGGTATCATCTGGGCTGGTTTTTTGCAGGGCAAGGGATCTCAGCTGGCTGGGTCAGTCAGCTTTCTAGGCTGGCTCCCCATCCATCAGGTTTAATACTCAGTCTGTGGCACAGCTGGGAGTTACACTGCTCTTTTCAAGCCTAGTGCAACAGGAAGCTTTTTGGGGGCATGTGTAATGACCTTTACCCTGTGACTGGCAGAGGCTTCTCCTACTTGGCTCCTTCAGAGCCTCAGGCCTGAGATTTGTTCGTTACCTCCAGGCAGGTGATGGGAGAAGTCTTTCTTCTCCTATTCAACAACTCTTCCTGGTGCAGAGGGAGATTTCCCTCAGTTTTGTACTCCACTTTTATTTATGGTGATCAACCAAGCTAAACTTCCCAGATTCCCATTGGGTCTTATGTAAATGAGTAACTGGGGACAAAATTATAGTGGCAGTTTCTGCCCTAGGACAGGTTCATTGTCTCTCCTTGGCCTCATTATTTGTAATTGGACTATTCCAACCTCTGACCCTGGCTAAGATATCAAGGGCTTTCTACCTGAAAGGGCCTCATCTTTACATTTCAATGTCTCTGCCTCTTTCAACCTTATTTAAGTCTAACTTGGGGACACCCTTCCTTTGGGTGAATTTTTGCAAAAAGATCACTGAAAGTAAAAGAGAAACTCTCAGTAAGTGCTTAATAAATGCTTATTGACACTTCTAGGTCTATATCCCAAAAAGATCATAAAAAAGGAAAAGGACCTACATGCACAAAAATATTTATGGCAGCTCTTCTTGTGGTGGCAAAGAATTGGAAATCAAAGGGATGTCTATTGATTGGGGAATGACTGAACAAGTTGTGGTATATGAATGTAATGGCATACTATTGTTCTATAAGAAATAATGAGCAGGCAGATTTCAGAAAAACCTGGAAAGACTTACATGAACTGATGCTAAGTGAAGTAAGTAAAACCAAGAAAACATTGTAAACACTAACAGCAATATTGTTTGAATTATGATTGACTTAGCTCTTCTCAGTAATATAATGATCCAGGACAATTCCAAAAGTCTCCAGATAGAAAATGCTATCCACATCCAGAGAAAGAACCTGAATGAAGTCTGAATGCAGATCAAAGCATGCTATTTTCACTTTCTTTTTTTTTGTTGTTTTGTTTTTGTTTTTGTTTTTTTTTTTGGTCTGTTTCTCCTTTCACAACATGACTAATATGGAAATACATTTTACATGATTGCACAACTGTAACTTCTATGAAATTGTTTATTGTTTTAGGGAGCGGGGAGGGGAGGGAGGAAGAAAAATTTGGAATTCAGCATTTAAAAAAATGAATGTTAAAAATTGTCTTCACATGTAATTGGGAAAAAAATACTATTTAGAAAAAGAAAAAAGGAAAATGAATGCTTGTTGAAGAAACTCTGACTCACTCAATGTTTATTCAGTCTCTGCTGTGTGCAGAGGGATGTGCTGACAGATAAGACTCTAGCCTCATCCACAATTGAGTCTGTTGAGTACACTAAATTCCAGTAAAATTCAATGACTTGGAATGAGAAAGGGAGATTATGATCAGCCAGGAAATCAGAGAAGACTTCCTGGAGGAAGGGACATTGATCTACTTTGAAGTTCTGGGCCGTCTTGGAGATCTCTTCAGCTCCCATTGATTCAGCTACCATCTCCATGCAAGAGATTCCCAGAGCTACATATCCATCCCTCACCTCTTTCCTGATCTCCAGTTCTGTGTCACCCACTGCCTTTTGGACATTTCAAATGAGATGTCCCATAAATATCTCAAATGAGACATGTCCAAAGCAGAACTTCAATATTAACAGGTATAAGATATTCATTCATTCATTTACTCAGTCAACAAACAGTTACTGAACAAAATATATATAATATATATTGTTGGGCATAGATATGTTAAAGGGCATATATATAGCATCAGCTGTGTAACCACAGGCAAGTCATTTAAAATCTTTGTGCCTCAGTTTCCTCATCTGTAAAATGGAGACAATAATTATAACTCCCTTTAAGGATTGTTGTGAGGATCAAATGAGATGACATATATAAGGTTTTTCACTTTAAAGTGCCATTTTATTATTAATAACAAAAAATGAGAATAGTCAATATTAGAAAGGTTGTGGGAAAGTAAGGCTCAGTAGTGCATTGTTGGGCAGAGAGATGATGCAGTGATTAGAGTGCTGGGCCTAAGGTCAGGAAGACTCACCTTCCTGAGTTCAAATTTCGCCTCAGACATTTCCTAGCTGTGTGACCTTGGGCAAGTCACTTTACCCTGTTTGCCTCAGTTTCCTCATCTGTAAAATGAGCTGGAGAAGCAAATGGCAAAACAATCCAGTATCCTTGACAGAAAACCCCAAATTGGGGCAGCTAGGTGGCACAGTGAATACAGCACTGGCCCTGAAGTCAGGAGGACCTGAGTTCAAATCCAGCCTCATACTGAACACTTGTCACTTACTAGCTGTGTGACCCTGGGCAAGTCACTGAACCCAAATTGCCTAAAAACTAAAAAAAAATAAAATAAAAAAACCCCAAATGGGGTCACGAAGAGTTAGACCCAACTGAAACAACTGAATAATAACAACAAAGTAGAGCTGTGAATCAGTAAAACCATTTGGGAAAGTAACTTGGAATTATGTAAATGAAGTGACTAAAACATCTATAACATTCGACCCAGGAATTCCATTATTAGGCTTATACCCCAAAGAGGATATTGAGAAGAAGAAAGTCCCCATGTAAACCAAAATATTTGTGGTGACATTTTTTTGTGATAACAAAGAATTATAAACCAAACAAATGCCCACCATTTGTGGAATGGCTAAAAACATTGTGGTATAAATTAAGAGTATTATTGTATTGTAAAAAGTTAATGTGAATTCTTAAGATTTATGATGAAAAATGCTATCCATCTCCAGAGAAACAACTGATAGAGTCTGAATGTAGATTGAAGTATGTTATTTCTTTTTACATTTTTTTTACATTATTTTTTTTTACATTATTTTTCTTGGGTTTTTTGGTCTGCATTTTCTTTCACAATATGACTAATATGGAAATATGTTTATACATGTTATACATGTATAACTTATGTCAAATTGCTTGCCTTCTTAGTGAGAGGAGAAGGGAAAAAAGGAGGGAGAGAATTTGGAACTCAAAGTTTTAAAAAATGAATGTTAAAAATTGTTTTTACATGTAATTGGGAGAAAATAAAATATTAAATAATTTTTAAAAATTTAAAAATTAATAATGTGATGAATATAGAGAAGCATTAATAGATCTTCATGAACTGATGCAGTGAAGTAAGCAGAGCCAAGAATACAATATACACAATGATCACAAGGCAAATAGAAAGAGGTACCACAAAAGGATCAAAAGTGAATGTTGCAAAATTACAAAGAATAAGCCTAAGAGAAAAGAGAAGTCACTTCTACCCACAAGTGGGTGCCTGTACCCACACCATGCTTTCCTACCTTAGTGTTAGCTCACAGCAAAATCCTACACCTGGAATGTCTCTATCCCCCACATTCATGTGTTAACATTCCACCCAGACTGTAAGTCAACAAGCATTGATTAAGCTCTTATCATGGCTAAGAGCTGGGGATTCAAAGAAAGTCAAGAACACAAAAATATGGTCCCTGCCCTCAAGGAGCTTATACTCTGATGGGAAAGATAATGTACAAAAAGATAGGGGAATATAAGAGATAGACAGGGTCAATGGAAGGGAGTCTATCTTTGAGGAAGAGAGGTGTGGGTGTGGGAAGGGATGACAACTAAGTATGGCCTCATATAGAAGGTGAAATTCGTGCTGATTCTCTTTTTTTTGTTGTTGAGGCAATTGAGGTGACTTGCCCAGGGTCACATAGCTAGGAAGCGTCTAAGGACAGGTTAGAACTCAGGTCCCTCTGACTCCAGGACCAGTGCTCCAACCACTGTACTACCTAGCTGCCCCAATTTATGGTGATTCTTGAAGGAAGCTATGAGGTAGAGATGAGAAGGGAGACCCTTCTAGTCATGGGGGACAGGTGATACAAATGCCTGTCCTGAACCTGGAGATGGAGGGTCCTGTGCGCGGAGCAGTAAACAGAGAGGTCAGTATGACTGCATCAGAGTTCATGGTGGGAGGGGAAGAGTGAGAAGACTGGAAAAGTAACAAGGGGCCAGATTATCAAGGCCTTGAAATGTCAAATAGAAGAATTTCCATTTGATATCATAAGGAATTCAATAAAGTTAAACTATTTACATTCTTACAGTTGGAAGGAGTGAGGCAGGGAGAAATATAGGGAGACAGGGGCCAACAAAAAAGAGAAATAGAAAGTCAACTTTCCAAGGTGTTTTTATTTCTGCTGTTGAAAGGATGCTCTGTGGGGCTATTCCACTTACCCACAGGCCACACAGTTGGGGTCCCATTTCTCATGAACAAAGAGGTCACCAGAGTTGATGGGAATCACTTACTCTTCCCCTTTCTCCACAGACTGGTCATACTCTCCCAGAACCACCTGGTATGTGCGGAAGTGGCTGGGAAACCAGAGGTTAAAGCTAAGGTTCAGCTCCATCAGGTAGTCTCAGAGCCCTAGACTTATTACAGATACCACTCAGACAGCAGAGATCCCTCCTCCCTGCCCCCTCACCCCAGAGACTCTAGAGACTACGAGAAATTTTAGGTCATACGATGTAGATCTATTTTCTTTACGATTATCAAGTTCAACTTGAAGAAACTGAGGTCCCAGAGGACAAGTAACTGGCCCAAGGCCACATAGTGAATAAGAGCCAGAATCAGGCTCTGAATCTACTCTACTTTCCCAGGCTTCCTTGTGAGTCTTTTTTTTTTTTTAAATTTTTAGTTTTAGTTTTCAACATTTACTTCCATAAGATTTTGAGTTCCAAATTTTCACCCCATCTTGCCCCTCCCCCCACCCCAAGAGGGCATGCATTTTGAATATCCCTTCCCCTAGTCTGCTTTCCCTGCTATCTCACCCCCCTTCCCCTTCTATTTTCCTGTAGGGCAGGATAGATTTCTGTACCCCATTTCCTGTATTTCTTATTTCCCAGTTGTGTGTAAAAACATTGTTTTTTAAACATGTATTTTTAAAACTTTGGGTTCAAAATTTTCTCCCTTCCTCCCTCCCCACCCATCCTCATTGAAAAGGCAAGCTATACATGTGCAGTTATGCAAAACACTTCCATAGTAGACATGCTGTGAAAAACTAACTCTATTTCCCTTAATCCTATCCCGCCCCCCCATTTATTCTATTCTTTCTTTTGACCCTGTCCCTCCTCAGAAGTATTTACTTCTGATTACCCCTTTTCCCAATCTGCCTTCCTCTCTATCATCCCCCTACTCTCTTGTCCCCTTCCCCTCCTATTTTCCTGAAGGGTAAGACAGATTTTCATACCCAATTGAGTGTGTATGTTATTCCCTCCTTAAGTCAAATCCTATGAGAATAAGATTCACTCATTCCCTCTCACCTTCCCCCGTTTCCCCTCCACTGGAAGAGCCTTTTCTTTTCTGTTTTTTTTTTTTGTGAGATAATTTAACCCGTTCTACCTTTCCCTTTCTCCTTCTCCTAGTATAATCCTCTCTCACCCCTTAATTTTATTCTCCAAATATGACCCTTTCATCTTCAACTCACCCTGTGCCCTCTATCTATCTAACTATATATATATATAAATATAGATATATAGATATAGATATATATATATATACACATACATATAATTTTTTCCCTCCAACTATCCTAATACTGACAAAGGTCTCATGAGTTACAAATATCATCTTTCCATGTAGGAATGTAAACAGTTCAACCTTAATAAGTCTCTTATGATTTCTCTTTCCGGTTTACCTCTTCATGTTCCATTTGAGTCTTGTATTAGAAAGTCAAATTTTCTATTCAGCTCTGGTCTCTTCATCCAGAATGCTTGAAAGTCCTCTATTTCACTGAATGACCATTTTTTCCCCTGAAGAATTATATTCAGTTTTGCTGGGTAGGTGACTCTTGGTTGTAATCCTATCTCCTTTGCCCTCTGGAATATTATATTCCATGTCCTGTGGTCCCATAATGTAGAAGCTGCTAAATCTTGTGTAATCCTGATTGTGTTTCCATAATACTTGAATTGTTTCTTTCTGGCTGCTTGTAATATTTTCTCCTTGACCTGGGAGCTCTGAAATTTGGCTACAATATTCCTAGGAGTTTTCCTTTGGGGATCTCTTTCAGGAGGAGATCGATGGATTCTTTCAATTTCTATTTTGCCCTGTGGTTCTAAAATATCAGGGCAGTTTTCCTTGATCATTTCTTGGAAGATGATGTCTAGGGTCTTTTTTTGATCATGGCTTTCAGATAGTCCAATAATTTTTAAGTTCTCTCTCCTGGATCTATTTTCCAGGTCAGTTGTTTTTCCAATGAGATATTTCACACTGTTTTCTAATTTTTCATTCTTTTGGATTTGTTTTACAGTGTCTTGATTTCTCATAAAGTCACTAGCTTCCAATTGCTCTA